GGGTGCGGGGACCGGGGGTCTGGGGCCAGGGTCGGCGGGGGTCCCGGGGCCGGGGCCGGGGTGCTGGGTGCTGGGGCCGGGGTCCCGCGGGGGTGTCGGGGGTCGGGCGGGCGCGGGGGTCTTCAGCGGGGACCGGGGGTCATCGCCCCCGCGGGAGGGGGTCCGGGGGTGAAATCTCGGCCCCGGGTTTGCCCCCGGGGGTCCCCGGGTGACAACCCTGATACATAAGGCTTGTTTATATAGGACGATCGCTTCTCACAGTCACAGTGGGACTCCTCTCAGTCATATATGTATGTAATTGTAGGCAGTCACATCCAGAGCATGAACCACAAACATACCTGCAATCACATCAAAGATTCAACAAAAGCCCACGCACTACACGGGGTCAACTTCAACCATTCCTTGCACTCATACCCCTCGCTTTAGCCATACAAGCCTCACTCGTGCAACTCTTAAATAAATACACGATACTTTTGTTGGATGGCCATTCAATAAAGTTCGGTTGAAAACACAACAAAACAGTTCAATCACAAAGCTAAAGCCTTTAGTTTGAGTGGCAGAAGTGAATCGGAGTTGAGTCGTAAACCAACGAATCGGCAACCGACCTGTTATCAGTGATAACAAAATGTGATCCTAGTAGGATCAAGCTGAATCTAGTCTTGAACTTGAACCAAACGATCAAGAGGACCTGTAACACATGACAGGTCAATGCCTCAGGCTAAACCTATAAGTCCATGAAGAACAATCTTCATATCATGATCTCAACCCAATCATCCTAGGTAACTATATCTAAGCCTACCTCTAGCAAGTGCCCAAAGAAAAGGTAGACTCACGGCAAAATCTCCCCTGTTTAGAGTGGACTACCAGAATCGCCACCTGTCAAAATAGAATCTATCTCCTCTAAACTAAGAAAAATTCGACAGCGCTTCTCATAGGAAAAGTGTCTTTTTTTATATAAGTCCAAATATGAAAGCAGAAATAATCTTTAACTCTGGAAAGTCAAATTTTGTCTAACTCATTGAATTATAAAAAATTTGGGCAATACTCCTTTTAGAAAGGGAGACTTCCCAGGTTTATACTAAGTCAGATATGAACTCAAAAGACAACTTGAGTTCAACTTAGACAATATTTAACTAACTCCTTAGATTTGCAGAAATTTCGGCGATATTCTCTCTAAAAAAGTGCTTTCCCGAAATTTATACAAAGCTAAGTCTAGAATTCGAGAATAGCTTTGACTTCTCAAAGTCCAATTTTGTCTAACTCTCTGAAGTAACAAAAATTTGGGCAGCACTCCCTTTAGAAAATGAGACTTTCCATATTTTTACTAGGTCAAATATAAAGAAAAGACAAGTTGAACTTTGACAAGTCAAAAATTGACTAACTCCTTAGATTTGTAGAAATTTCGGCAGCGCTTCCCGTAGAGAAAGTAGCTTCCCAAGCTTTATACAAAGCTAAGTACAAAAAAATGATCCCAGAAAATGCAAGAATTGACCTAAGTAAAAAAACCTAGCTCAGCAAATGCAAGAATTGAAACTAACTCCTAGACCTTTTGCACGTGGCGAGCGACTAAAGCAACTACCTATCAAACTGAAACTCAGACCAAGCCGTAACCTCACTCAGCCACATGCAGGCCAAACCACAAAGGTAAGTACTCTCACCATCCCGAGTTTATCCAGTCAACAATAGTTCATGATCTTTCAAGGATTTGACCCTTTATACCCAGCTTACATAAGGCATAAAGTCAGGTCACCCAAACTTATAGAATGTGTCTAACTTAGCCAAAGAGTATACACAAAACAGAGGGCACAACTACTTCTCTCTTCTTTGGGCATATAACTAGACCATTCTAGTCGCCCTAAACTGTTTAAAATATCCAAATTGTATATATCTGTTTTCCCCTTTGTCTTCTAAGGCTGCATATGACTGAACTAACTTAAGATCACTCTGCCCGAGCTTACCATCAATTTTATTCTTAGTTATACTCTCTTCAAGTTGTGATAGGCTATAGTCAAACCATCTAAACTTATAGAACAGTCTGATTAGCTCGTTCTTAGATAGAATAGTAGTAATTCCGTCCCGGTTCAGACCGTTCTTCTCCCTGCTGTTGGCCTACCGTATGCACCCGACGCCATTTTTCGCCCGGGTTCGTCCTTTCTGTCCATCCTTCCCGTTTGCCTGTCTCTTTTCTGCGCCACGCTCGCTGCTGTTGCTGCTCATATAGCGCCCGTGTGGCTTTGCCCGCCTCATCTCCTTCGTCGTTCCCCGCTCCGACTGGAGCTGGTCCGCCCTCATCTCCTTCGTCGTTGCCCGCCCCGACTGGAGCTGGTCCGCTAACCAAACAGTACTGCAGGCGCCGCTCATCACAACCAACCGGCGGTGGTCACGGAAAATTGAAATCCGCTACCCGGAATGTAGCGACTCACTTGCCGAAACACTCTACCCCGCCGAAACACTCCGCCCCAAAAATGGTTAGCGTTGAGCCTTACGACCTATGCGTGGCCGCCGTAGCTATACCGACCCTTTTGGTGCATGGGAGAGCACGCACCTGCTTCCAGCCTCGACATAAGCCCAAGCGAGGCCTGGTCCCAGATACAGCTCCTGTTGTTAGTAGCAGATAACCCGTACGAGATTTTCGAGGGTCAATATGGGAAGAAGTCTCGTGGGTGTAGCCGAGCACCTTCGTACGCTCCCTCACATTGCCCTTGGGCCATCCCCCTCGAGTGTGCTCGCACTCAAGAACTCCCACGGCAGGCTTGCGGCAGGCGGGCGGTACGCCCACAAACGGCCCGCGCCACCCAGGTCTCTCCCGCCTCGTGGACTAATCACCCACCGGCTTGCATACACGTTGGGCTCAGTGGTCCGTATCTCCAAATGGCAAGGCCGGGGAATTTCGTCGGCGTCTCGAACACACGGAGTCCGGCCGGCCCCTCGTAGAGAGGCGCATACTCAAGGTCCTCGACTGTCGTAACGGCTACTTAACCCGGCACCATGTCCGATCCAAAAGGGCGCCGGGGCATATAAAAAAATATATTAATAGTGCGACGTAGAAATGATTTACTTAGAGAATACGCCGCCCCTCCAGCCTTTCGACCCTTCACGCTACTCTGATGTTCCCGTGTCGTCGCCACTCAGTCTCGATCCCTGAATCTCTTTGATGAAAGTCCGCCGCTGTAACCAGTAATGCTAAGTCCAAGCCTAGTCTAACTCTGATAGACACCTAAAATAAACTGGTACTGCACGATGCGCAGACCCACCTAAATATTTCGAAAAATTCTCCCGCAGTTGTCGATGTCGTCCTCCATACGCACGCATAGGTCACAGGCAAGCACATCAATCAAACGAGTTATAATCTTTTTAATCCCTGTTTAATCAGAAGAGAAATTTTTAGCCGGCGATCACACCGACTCTTCAACCATCAACAAACAAAAAAGATCACGCGCGCCTGAGATCCTCGCGCCCACACACTCTCTATTCTAATCAACCATCCAGTCAACATAAATCACAGACGCAGTCGTGCCTCATGCGGAACACTTAAATTCCAGCCCAAGCTTATTTTTTGTCGCATGCAAAAACCAGGGCGGATACCCTTGTAAGGGTATTCGCGTCGACACCGCGACGACTACCCGGTCCAGTTCCTATCTCAAGCCGCGGCTCCTTTCCGAGTATCCTGTGCGCAGTCGACAGACAACCTCCACGGCTACTCGGCAGTGCGGCAGCATCTACAATATCCTCCGGGAACGGGTGTGGAAGTCCGCAAACTGGCGGGGCACGTGTCGAAGATCGCCCCTTAGGATGTCGCTGCCCGTCGCGATGTGGCGCTCCTGCTGTGGGCGGTCGTGACGGCGGTGCAACCATCGTCTTGCCCTGTCCCTCGACAGCACTGGATGACCCAACACCCGGATGCTCCAACCTATCTCCCTTCCATACCCAACCTGCTGCATCCGCAAACATCTCTGACAACCTCCCACCGCGTTCCCTCCTCTCACCCGTGACCCCAGGCATAGCATTCTTCAGTTTTCGGGTGACCCTGCTGATGCCGCTCCACGATACAGACTTCCCCTGAAGGGGAAGGAGAACCCTCCACACAGCCACACCCTTGGGGCGTCGCTGCTGCTGCCGCTACGTCCCCCCCACCAACACTCACACCTGAACGGTCCGGATGTGCAACTGCGACTGCGCACCCAGCTCCCTTGCCGACAACACTGGCACCAGACTCGCCTCATCATCCACCCACCGCCCCCGGGGACGCTGGTCGTGCCCCCGCACCCGCTGACCCTGTTCCCCATGACACCCCTCCCGGCTCGATGACTCTCTGACCTGTCAATTGCTCGAAAAGGTCTGCCATCTCCATGGACCTCGCAGCATTCCCCGATACACCGGAGGGCACTAACGGACTCACAGGGAGTAAAGAAGATGGAGGCACGATATTCCATAGCCGCTCCGATATATGCCTGTTCCTACCCATCACTGGATTGATCCCGGCAGCGTGGTGCTAGTGCAGATATAGTGACCCCGGTGCATCAACGGGGGCAGTGGCGGTGCTAACTGCTCCATCCGGGTCCATGTACTCCTCAGTGCGATCAAGTATCAAGTATCAAGTATAGCATCCTCCACCCCAGGGCGATGTGGTACAGCATCCGTCAATGCGACATATGCTACCGCCAGCTGTCCGTCCTCCTCGGTGCCATCGCACACAGGCAACCCCCCCGCATCAGCCGTGACAGCAACGTCGCCCCCGTCCCCCTCGTCATCATTACGGCGTCGTGTGATCCCGTCGCCAAATGTGTCATCCCCGTCATGGCCATTGACCGTCCCCGTCGCACGAATGGCGTGTCCAGACTCCACTGCTAATCTCGCGGCAGTGACTGCCTCAACGGCACATCCCATCTCCCTCGCCCTGGCCATGTCCCGCTCCAACGCAAGCTGCTGTGTCGTGGCACACGTAGCGGTCATCTCTCTCAACCGCTCCTCCTCAAGGATGTCCTCCGGGTCCATGTCTAGCCGCCTTGCGGCCTCTCTAACCCCCGATGGAGGCCTTTAGTCAACCTCGTCGCCACGCTTGCCCTCCTTGCCATCGCCTTTCGCTCCGGCAACCTCTGCCAACATCCCCGGACTCACTCCAACAAAAACCGACCCTATGCGGTGCACAACGTCACTCGCCGGTGTCCGAGCCCGCACCCCACCGCCTCTCGTCTCCGAAGTAAGCGGGCGACCAACATCGAAGTCGTCCTTGAATATGCCAGACGGAATCAATCCCTGTGGCACATCCAAACCACATCCTTGCAGGCCGCCGACGTCCACGCCCGCTGCGCCTGCAGCATGAGTGACAAGGCCAGCGTCGCCCGTTGTGCCATGAACTGCCCCACCGTCGCTGCCGCACTCCGTCCCCTGCGAGGCCGCTCCATCGGGGTCCTCTCCTCCGACCATGTACTTATCATCGGAGTCCTCATCGTCGGCAACATCCCCGTCCTCACCTCCATTGTCCTCGCTCGATGATCACACAACCTGTGATTGGTTGCGCCCCCTCGCAGCCATGCGTTCCGCTCTCAACAATGGAGTGTGCTTGCAATGGCTCTGCCAATCCCAAGACCGCATATCACTGGCAGCCGCATGCTCACTCTCCCCGCAGGAGGCCTCACCACCCTCAGGCGCGTCAATGCCCCCCTGCTCCAACTCCTCTGGGTCCGTCCATGCCTCAGCCTCCATCTCGTCCGCAGCCTGTGGGTCGACGGGCGGCTCGTACTCAATTTCCTCGTCGTACAACTCAATATGAGTCGCGCGACGACCGAACACACTCTGGACCAAAGGGGGGTGGCGAACCGTCGAGGCACATTGCATCTTGCGCGCCTGCCGTCTGATCTCCACGTCTGTCAGCAACCCCGGCGACAGAGTGCCCGAACGTCGTGGCTCTGGGACCTCGTCCAACCCCTCCTCCAGATCACCCCACGGCAGGACGAGTCCCCTCCTCCCCGCTCTACATGTCAGGAGCTTCTTGTTCACGCACATCTTCACCATTTCGGTTAGCTTCGTGAAGTCTAAGCCGTTGCGGCGCTTCTCATGGATGCGCTCGTGCAGCACACAGTTCCTCTCTGCAGGAGAGGCGCATACCCACGTGTACATCAGACGTGTGGCGATGCTACAAAGCTCAGGGGCACACCCATCGTGCAGCACCCACCAATCAGCAATCGTGTGTGTCTCGTCCACCCCCTGGCACATGTCCTCATCCCCGGTGCCCGCATCTCCACCCCAATCATATCTCGGACCACGGGAGTGGAAGTCGTACAGCTGCTGATGGACCAATCGGTACCTCTCGCCCCGTCCGTCGAAGTCGGTCTGCGTGTAGATGTACTCCAGTGTCATGCCTGCCACCTTCTTCTGGTGAGAGTTGCGATGACATGACTGGAAGTAAACGAAGTTCCGCCTCTTCGGATTTAGAAGATGGGTGGCGACATGGGCAGGGTCCAAGAGATAGCACGCTCGACCGTAGCAATCCTGCAACATCCCAACCAGGTGCGGTCTCGCCAACTCCAACTTCCGAATCTCCTCAGCCAACTGCGTCACCCATCGGAAGATACACGAGATCACCAACCCCCCCTGGTTCAACTACCTCAATAACTGCACGACTGGGGTGAAGACGTCGATGAGATCATCCATCTCCTCCCAAAACAACCCACATCGCACCTGAGTGCGCACCCAACCAGCCTGGGCGAGGAGCCTCCTCGCCCATGGAAGTCGCGCCCAATCCCCCTCCAACATCATCGTCTCCAGTGGAACCCTACAGTCGCGCAACCTCTCCATCATGATATACATAGACGTGAACCGCGTCTGGCAAGGGTACAACAACTCCCGGCCCCATCGTCTTTTGCCGCATGCCTCCTCTCCGCCTGCGACGCTGCCACTGACACGCTCGTCCCCTGCACCGCGATCGGCCTTGGCGCTGTAAATCCTGAACAAGGCGAGAGCCGAACCGTGCGACTTGATGAAGCGCACAACCGCCCTCGCCCTCGTCAGCAACTCAATGGCCCATGTCTTGTCCTTGACCATATCACACAACATCAAGTTGCAGCAATGGACAGAACAAGGGAGCCAAGGGATGCGACAGATATCTGGATCGGGGTCATCGCGAAGTGCACGGTCGGCAGTGACATAAAATGATGCGGAGTCCGTGCAAATAACATTTATCTTCTTCGCGCCGAAGTCCTCGAACACCTTCCACCGCCGCAACACCACATCTGCAGTCTCTACATCAACCCCTTCCCTGCGAACCGTCGTGTAAAGGAAGGCGCCCGACTGTCCAACTGCCAGGAAGTTGACGATGGGCTCAGAGTTCAGGGACTTCCTCCCATCCGTGAGGATGGTGGCCCTCGTGTGCTCCATCTGACCGTGTATGTCACGTAGCTTATCAGCTATGTGCAAACGCTCCTCCTGTATGCCAATGCCTGCTATGCGCCTGAACTGGGGCAAAGCAGGCTTCACGCCCCTTGGCATGTTCTACACATGCTGTAAGAGGGCCCTATACTCCGTCGTCCTCGCCCTTTCAAATGGGATGCCGCCGATATACCACCACTGAAGGAACAGATGGTCGAAGGTGGCCTGCCACTCCGGATCGTATACCTCATCCAACCTAACCTGCTTCAAGCGCTTTGGCTCCGGAGCGCTCGCCGCAGGAGCAGTGTCCGCCCTCCGCTTCCCACGTCCATCCATACCGCCATGACCCGTCGGCCCACGACCCGCACGTGGCCCTCTAACTCCCCCCCCTAACAGGGATGCTCCTAACTCCTCCGCATCCTCGTCATCTGTGTATCTTTTTAACGCAGAACGGGGGAATTAAACTCTCGTTGAATCTCGTTAAACTCCAAAAAATCCCGTTGAATTCTCGTTAAACGCGAAAATGGGCCGCTCCCGCACTTTTCAAAAAAACGGAATTGATGCACGGGGTCTGGAACACGTGGCCCTAGGCAAAAAAAAAAAATAA